CAGCAACCCCCCCAAAAAAAAAAAAAAAAAAAAAAAAAAAAAAAAAAAAACCCAAAAAAAGGCTAAAGAATCATGCACACACAGATAAAAACATCTTGCAACTTTATCTATAGTTTAGAATAGTTAATTGCAAATAAGGCTGATCCAGATACAACTGCATAATATCTTAGCTTAAAGAGGAAAGAGAGAATCAAAAGATGATAATGTGAAATACACTCTGATTCAGACACATCCATATACCTATAGTAATCACGACGATGAATTTCGGAGAATAATGGACTTCACCATGTTAAGAATAAGTTACCAAGCCTAAATAAATGCAGGACCTCCCCTGACACATAGATCTATGCAAAAGAGATCCAAATGTCTACACCATCGAAAAGTGATAGTAAGGTCACAGTTATTCAGCCGACTCCTATGTCATGCATACACATCACTTGACAAAGTATTATAGGCCTCAGGGGTTTTCTCCCAGCGGTTGACCTCAAAAAATGAGGCAAAGTTGAGCTTTCAAAAGGCCTAACTAAAGCAACTACAATTACAAAGCATATCTATATTTCGCACTGATATAATGTACTATGTACAATACATACAAATCAGTAAGTGTTACAGTGATAAGAGAGGAGGCAACACAAGAAACCTTCCTAACTTCGTCGCTAATAAAAAAATCAATAATGAGTAAAGCATTTGTTGATGCTACTACATGACAATGAAGTCAAATAAAGCATTATGCACAATGCACCATAAATCATACCATAGACTAATTTGTATGGATCTCTAGAAATTCCTATGATGATGTCATGCTAGCAACATAAGTAGCTCAAAGTACATTTTGTAAATACTAACAGACTAAAAAATGTTGAGGCCTAATGACGAAATATGATGATATTTACATAAATTACGGGGTATAACGACATTCACATGGATGTGAGCACTCTAGTAACTTATTAGCAGATAATAAATCAATATTCAAGTTTGAGCAATGCCTTATACAACATAAAGAAAACAAATGGAGCCTGACTTTCAATTTTTCATGGGCCTCTTGAACATTTTTTCCGTCCTTTTTCTTCCTCCAGTTATAGCCATCTTTACGGAAGTTCCTCAGCACTTTACGATCAAACAGTAGAACAGTGCCACCTAAATCACATAAATTGAAAACAGAGGAACAATCAGAACAAAAACATTACTATTAGCCATCGTCTTAATAAAACAAACCGCTTGCACTATATGCACAGAGGTTAATATACCAAATAAGTAAGCATCTTTGTCAAAGGCCAAAAAAAGGTGGCAAACAAGTTAGTACTTAGTCCATGTTGTTTGAAACCTGCCTATGTTACATAATTTCTCTTCTGTGCAATTTAAATGGAGCAGCACAAACTACTTTCTTTGCATCCCGTAAAATTGACAAGCTTCAAAATAGTAAAATGGAGATTTGATGCCTAGAAAGTTATATAACAAAAGAAGATATTAGCAGTTTAGTTTTATATATATCCTTATCAATCATCAGTTTTCAAGGAAAGTTAACTTCAAAACATTGTTATTGGGCATCAGTTTTAGATATTATACATTGTTTAAAGATTGTGATATATCAATTCTTTTTTTCTTCTCTTGAAAAAAAATATAGTGGACAAACCCATCGACTCCCATGGTATGGGAGTCTAAAAACCTTCTAAACTACTTTGGTTTCACCATCAGCTTGTAGCCTGTCTGTTGATATACCAGTTTACCCACTCACCACAAAGATGTCCTCTAGTAACAGTGAGTTCCTCTTGGGGCTGTTTGTTTGCCTAAAAAAAGAGGGAAATCAAAAAATAGGAAACCTATTTCTAAGAAAAATTATTTTGGGATTGTTTGGTTGGCTAAAAAAAGAAGGAAATCAAAGAATGAGAGATGAGATGAGATGAGTTGTCACCTTATTATTGAATGATGTTGGTGATTTTTTAAGAAAACTTGTTTTGAGGTTGTTTGGTTGGCTAAAAAAATATGGAAATGAATTATAAGAAACCTATTTCTTGTAATAGGTTCTTTTCTTTTGTTTGGTTCATTCTTAAAAATAAGAAAATAGATGAGATGAGATGAGTTGTAATAGGTTCTTTTCTTTTGTTTGGTTCATTCTTAAAAATAAGAAAATAGATGAGATGAGATGAGTTGTCATTATATTATAGAAAATAGATGAGATGAGATGAGTTGTCATTATATTATTGGATGATGTGACCCACACTTAAGGAAATAAATTTCCTTGGTTTTTTTGAGGAAATGGGTGGAAATAATGTTAATGAGATGAAATGAGTTGTCACCATATTATTGGATGATGTGGGTGATTTTTAAAGATGAGATGAGATGGAGATGAGATGAGTTGGATGATGTGACCCATTTCTTGTGTTTGGTTTATTTTTAGGAGATGATATGAGATGAGTTGTGGGATGAAAATAATATTTTATTGGATGTTGTGGTGAGTTTTAGGGATGGAAATGGATGAAAATAATATTTTATTTATTTCCATGTACTGATGTACCCTTTTCCTTTTCTTGATTTTTAGGAAACCAACCAAACAGGCCTAGTCACATCTGTCAAATTACTATTAAATGACAGAAAGGTGCTCTTGAGCATCTTCAATATTCCTGTGAAGAACATGAATCTATGCTTCAGTTAGCATGTTGTTTTGACAGAAACATCAAAAAAGTAAACAAAATGAATAGCTACAAGCCACAGTATTTTCTAGAAAAAAGGTTTATGACAAAGATTTGCATTGAACAAAATTTATCAGAAAAATAAAGTAAATTGATTACCTTGCTAGAACTATAGTTTGTTAATCTATCAGATGGATATATTCTCATTAAACTGATAGTATTCCATAGTGAAGATTATAAATGAAACTAAACAATATTGGATTAATTTTATGATAGTAATAACTACTAATAAAATTAGAGCAAACCAATCGACTCATACCCAGCCCCATGTAGCTGAAGCAGGTTAGGACTGGGTCCACGCTTATGACTGAAATCCCAAGCCTAGCACGATAGGTTTGGGTAAATTTTGATGGAACGTGCATTATATTTAATACATTCTAACCATGGCGAAGATAGAAGTGTGGTTATTCCATGTTTATGTCCAACATATATCATACAGAGGCATGCACAAAAAACCTGATGGATACCTCTCCAACACGTCTAGCATGTGCTTGCCCTTGAAACAGCTTCAAATTGAGTGAATATAGGACAAATATATGCACTACATGACTACACATCTCTGGACCTGTACATGCGGTTATTAGGATTGAGCAGGAATCCATCATTAACTTAGCCAGCCATATGCGTTGGGTTGTATTCAATTTTGAGCCAGATTTTATGCTCATCACCACTTCTGAAATTGTTTATTCCCTTTTCCACATATGCATTGGGTGGTCGTATTCAATTTTGAGCCAGATTTTATTCTCACTACCACTTCTTAAATCCCTTAAGATTCGTTTTGCTCCCATGTCTATATTTCATTCCTCTATTTCCTCTACCTCCTTGCCAACTTTGACCCATAGAGAAACCCCCACAGCACGATGCACCTTCATCTACTCAAGGCGTGGCCTTCTATATCAGATCACATTTGTGAATGCCAGATTCAAGTTTTCAAAGTTAATTTATCTGGTGTTATAAAAAATAATTTTATTTTCCTAAATAGTTTATTTTGCGTATTCCTCATGCATTTTGACTAAACTTGGAGGTTTATGATTTTTATGAAATTAGGTTTTTTTTAATGTATAGTTGTTATGGTTATTTAGGTTATATGATGTGTTATCAATATATCACACACACACATTACTTTACATACAGACATACACACATATGTCCGTGTGTGATTCTGCAGGTATGTATACGTTTGCATGTATACATGTGTATGTTGTTATGAATGCATGTGTGTGTCCGCGTGTATATGTGCAAATGTATGCATGTAGGGTAAGGCTAAATGCACATAGGAATAATTAGACTTCTAGCTTCACCATCATAACCCAATAAATAGGACCATCAATTTCCACTAAACTTAGTTATGCCTAATCATATTTCTATCAAGTATCAAACTTAGTTATACTGAATGTATACCTGTAAGATTGGTACCAAGTATTTATATATGTACATATGTTTGTGTATATATATGTGTGTGTGTGTACATATATATACACATACATACGCATATACATACAAACATATGAGCACACATGTAAACATATCTAATGTCCTAAATTCTCACATACACAAACACACACACACATGCAACATACACAAGACATGCACACGCATGCACATGCACACCCCCATATACACTCAGAACCACACCCACCCATGCACGTACATACACATAAAATTTGATCCATATCATGAAAAGTTTTATTTGCGCGTGTGCATCAAGTAGGCCCAAGAGTGATAGTTGAAATTGATATTTTGCTTAGATTTACACAACTAAGAGCTTAATTTTCTGATCTGAATATATGCTCTTAATTTAATAACTTTAAAAACCCATATAAACCAAATGTTAAAGGTCTCATACACTCTTTAAACCCATATAAACTGAAGTTGCAACCAATTTGATTTTTAGTCCATTAAAGTAACCAATTTGATTTTTAGTCCATTAAAGTAACCAATTTGATTTTCAGTCCATTTACTTGGTGCTTTCTGATGCATAGGCAAAACAACTTTCAAAGAAAGTTGATTTCGTATAAGTTGATTTCGTATAATTAAGCACAATGATGTACATAAACTTGAGGATAGACCTTACAAAAGAGTTATCAAACATCGAATTTAAATAGGAACGAATTTGAGTCCAAATCGGTACGCCTATACTACCATATAAAGAACAAAGTAAGGGAAAAGAAATGTGAAGGAATCGTCACAAATTCCCCTTCACCATAGTTGTTTTTGTAGGGAATATTATTTTTTGTTAAGGGTAGATTGGTCATTCCCCCTCCCCCTCCCCCTCCGTCTCTCATAAAAGTTATAATTCCTTTTACAAACAAGCTTATAAATTAGACCTTCAATATTATATATTATAAAAATAAAAAATTGAGAGATTAAAAGCTCTAAAATACTCCAATTAATATTTATAATTGAAATGAAAAGTTAAAAGAAGTTATAACAGTTAAAGTCATTGAAGGAAAATTGTAAAAAATTGGCATGAGAAAATCTTTTTTATTCGGACATGATAATTGAGAATGATAAAATATTGAAAATAAAAATTACAAAATTATATTAGCAAGAAAAAATTCAACTTTCTACTTAAATAGTTAAAAAGACTATAACATGTTAGTAGTTAAATAAATAAAACACAAATTATATAACAACAATATTGTACCAAAGTTAGTCTACATTTATTTCTCCAATACAATCATGATATTTTAGTCAATATTACTTATTTTTATTACAAAGTATTTTATATTAATTTCTATTTTTTGTCGCGTGCATTATGCATGTGCAATTTAGCTAGTAACTAGTACAGTTCGCCAGGTTTAAAGAAATCACGAAAAGGTCTCAGCATCAAATATACGGAGGATATGGCTGCATAGGTCTTCATTGACTGGTTCATCAAGTCACACAGATTAATTGAATAAGGCCATAAATCTCACTTGTGATGGACCAGATTTGGCAAAAGAAAAAAGGTTTTCAATAAAATGGTCTACATAATGTTTAAGGGCAGCCTGATGCATGAAGCTCTAGCAATCTGCAGGGTCTGGAAGGAGTCGGAGCACTTTGGGTCTACTGTATGGAGCCTAATCCTTGCATTTATAAAAAGGTGTTGTTCCCATGACTCGCACCTGTGACCTCCAGGTCCCACGGCGACAACTCTTACCATTGCGCCAAGGCTCCCCTTTAGTCTGTAGAATGATATGTCTAAGTATTACAAATTATAAACCACGCTGATAAGTGAGCATTCACATGCCCACCATACAGAAATAGAATATATTTGCCCCATCCCCTCTCACGCATTACTGTTGCTAATGGCCACAGGCATGTATGCCCATGCAGTCATAAGTACACCTTCAAAGATCATAATTACCAACTCAAAGGCATGCATCCCCATGCAAAAGAGTGTAAAAACATAGATGCATATATACATACATAAGAACATGCAAATACACAACATACATGAGCATAAACTTTCCCCAAGTATTTTGCCCCATCTCATTTTGATGCCAATTATAATTAGGTGAAGCCCTGATGAACTACAGATTTTATAGACAAACATAGGGATAGGGGTGAACCTATGAGCCAACCGCCTAGCTAAACAAAGAGCTAAAGCGCATTCCAACTATCCAAAATATGCCGACATTTACACAATACAGTCAAACCAATCACTTAATAGCAGTTTTCTGATATTACTCCTCTGTAAAGAAGGGCTTTAAGTGCTTTTAGTTCAATATTTGGTAAACAAAACGACAGAAGTAAACCAACATATTGATGGAAAACTATACAATACTGCATCCCTAAGTAGTGAAAACCAAAATAAGCTAGGATTGATATCAAGCTGATAATCAACAATAGTAATTGAGCCAATCCTTCATGGGATCCGTCCTGATATGCATATGAGCACCATGACCATCTTGAAGGAAGAAGAAAAGCTCAGTTGTGATATTCATGATTGTGGTCTAGAATGATGGCTGGCCCCCATCACTCTACATCAAGAATAAATGACTAAAAATTATGCAGCTAGGTCACCCTTTTTTTTTAATTTCCCTACCTTGGGGTTATAAGCAAAACTGATTCGTGTACTGCTGCTCAACATCACTTTTCCTCATTATGTAACAACACATCATTTATTTGATCTATACAAATAGCAAAGGATAAACATAAATACTCATCATGCACATATTTACTAGATGTAAGACTCCACTTTTATTATTCATCAGCCTATTTGAACACCCAGAAATGTGAAGCCCCTATGTCCTCTATTAGCAAGGATGGGCACCAAATAAATGCATCGTGTGCAATTCCTGCTAAGGATAATGCTAGGGCTTGATGGAACAAACTTCATGGTCTGCTGTATACCATTATTCAGAATTTAATGAAAGACACGTGACAGGTAAAATGAAAGAAATGCATGCATGAACGCATCTAGCAAGCACTACAGAGTGATAAACATAAAATGACAGTGTAGAAAGTTTGCATGACAATAAAATATATAGTGCAAAGAGGCAGCACCATACTTTTAGGCCTGTCAACTGGTTGCGGCTGAATCTTAAAGTATCCGTAATTGCTCAATATTGCATGAACTTCATTTGGTCGGAACCACCTGTGCTGGGCCTCTTTCATCAATCTTTCTATGTCCAAATCTGTTAAAAGAGTAAAGCCGTCATTAGATGCTGGTAACAAAGAATAGAAGTTGCTTCTGTTTACATGTACCAGACAATACCTCTAATGTCAAAATTTCAGTCAACGGAAATGATTAATAACTTTTATATTTATGTTTTCTTGCTTTTAATGTAGTATTGTATAAAAGATATGATAAGAAAGTTTAGTGAATATATCAATTCCAAATAAAAAAAACTACATAGACAATGATGACCATTCATGACTAAGAACTAACAAAAAGCTAATTTTAAAATATTTTTTTGCCTTAGAATTGGTAAAAAGAATGTCCACTTTGTTTAGAAAATGGGTCAAAAAAATTTTGAATTCAGGAAAATGTCTGTTGCTCGTCTTCTTTTAGATAGAAACAGTAGTAAATGACTTGAGCTCATTTGGGCACATAATGGTTTTGACCTCAGTTTGAACCACTTACATGGCAACATCATGTATACTGCAAAAAGAATAAGAAAGCCTCGGTCTCAAATTTTTGGGTTTGATTATATCAATTGATTCTCTCCTTTCAGCTGCTAGGGTAACTTCATCACTCCACTACTAAATTAGAAACAGTTATATCCATTTCATTGCCTGAATCTTCGATTCTGGTGTACATTTAGTTATAGCCAACCTTTTACAATAATTTTTGTATTTGAATCATGCTCTAAGTGGTCCCCTCTACAAGCGTCCAAACAATGTCAAATAATTATTTCCTCATACTTGCCCCCCTTGAAGCTATCTCTGATTTCTTCTGAATGCCTTGCAAATTATCCATCTCAACTAATTTTAGCTCAATTTATTCTTTGACCACCCTGTTCACTAATCACCCAACATTATGACCCTATAGCACCATATTTGTCGGTTAGATAACCACCAGGTTCTAGTTTCTTGTCAAATTTTTGAATGAACATCAGCTCAACTTTTGTGAAATGCAAAATATGCCTGAATTTGGCCTTCTCTTTACTTTGGTAGGATTGTATCACTTAGAGATCGCTGTCGCATCACATTCAAAGTTGTCCAAGAATGTTGTGGAAACTGGAAGGCAAGAAGAAAGAAGGAAGCTAGAGCTTCATCTTAGGTCTCGGTCGTGATTTCCCCCACTGCGTCCCTCATGTCCTCCGAACCCCTCTAGCTTCGTTCACCATCTATGAGCACCTCCTCCAACCTTTAAGAGCATCTCCAACAGTTTCCCTAAAAATTTCTCCAAAATGGGGAAGCAAAAGTCATATTCTCCAAATTATTTTTGCTCCAACTCCAACAGCTTCCCCATTTTGAAGAATCCTGCATTTATTACAATAATAAAAATATTCTACATCCCTATTTTTGGCTGCTCTTATGCATTGGAACTGCCCCCATGGTTTTTTTTATAATTACGGATTTTGTTTTATATTTATTTTCTCATCCATCCCGTCTTGAAGAACGTGCCGTATTCATGACCAAGCTTTCCCCAAATATTTAAAGAATGCCCCAGATTTGGGGAAGACTCCCCTTTTTTCTTCCTCCATCCCTATTTTGGGGAATGGGATAGGGAATCTGTTGGACCAAAAAAAAGCCCAAAATTCTCCAAAAGTGAGAATACCAATAAAATGGGGAAGCTGTTGGAGATGCTCTAACAAAACCTCCACCACCACCACTTAAACCAAAAAAAAAATCTGGGCCCTTCCTAGGCTCTAGACGCCAGCTTGCCACCTAGCGCTTTCTATAACATTGAGGTTGATTATGCATCGCTATTTTTATTTTTTATTTTTTGTAATATTCTATGAATTTGATGCATTTTTGTCAATTGCTGTAATTACAAATAAAAAAAGGAAAACGCCTAGGTCTTTCCTAGGCTCTAGGCTCCAGGCCCGGTGCCAGTACCTAGGTTGCCTAGCTACAACCTTGGCATGAACCTATCATAAGATTCTAGTCTTCCATTCACACCGAGTTTCCTTAAGTTGACGACTTCTGCAACTTACTCTTAGTAGTTTTACATCTTCAACCAGTAAGCTACAGAGAATATATTGGGCATCCACGGGGCAATAGGACATCCTTCAATTATACTAGGCTGAACTTGCTCTGGAAAACCTGACTACTGTCAGCTAGACAATCATCAAAGTCCATGTTCCAAAAATATATGCATATATGTTACCAGAAAATGAAGTTTTTCTTCTTCTTTTTGCACAAATGAACTTCTTTTCGAAAGAGAGAGAGAGAGAGAGAAGATATTCTTTTTCTTACAATCAACAGCATATAAAATCACAATAAACAAAGAGGCAAAGCCCCAATTCGTAAAAAAGCTCTAAACAAAACTCAGACAAAGGCTGTATCAATCAAAATGCAACCTAAACCCCAGCATCCAACACCCAACACATAATTAACCAAAAATAAAACAACGATACTGTTTGCACTCAACGAAAAAGAAAGGAAAAGGAAAAATAACCACAATCACAAGAACTCCCAATCAACAGAAATTAGAGAAAGAAACCCTAGAACTTGAAATTAGGAGTAGTACCTGCTAGTGTGTCGAAGCCATGGATCTCTCTTCCAGCAAGCAGCGACGGTGAATTCGAATTCAACTCCATGGCAGAGAGAAGAGCGACAGAAAAAAAACCTAGACCAGAAAACAAAGAAGAAAGAAAAAAATGTAGAGCGACTACTGTGAATTTAATGGGGGAAGTCCCCGAAGGTGGTCCCGAGTTGATGGACGAGAGTGAACGGAAAGAGACCGCGGGGACTTTTGTCTGCAATGGAAACGGAAGGCCGAGGGAAAGAAGTAATCGACTATTTACTTTTATAATCTGGACCGTGCGCTA